ATTTCAGCCAAGTCTAAAATTATGGTGGTGTGCATTGGACCCCACAAGGTAATTAGTGTCCGCAGGTTTCTGTCTTTGCCTTTAGGTTTGCATCTGCTCCGAGAGTTTGTTCTCCATTGACTGGGACTTGATTTTACCTGTTTCCACAACGCTTCCAGCTTGGTAATAGCACATCCCAGTGCCTCCAATCTCCCCTGTTCTCCCCAAACGCATTCAAAATGAGTAGCTTTGAGACTAAGCCTATAGATGATCACAGATAGGGGCACTTTCTGTCTGTCAGATAATCTTGGCAGTATTGTCCTTGCAGGACTGGACCAGACAATTATTTTAACAAATGCAAGATTAGGCATTTGATTATCAACCTGTAGATGTCTAGCTCAAGCAAATTAGTTCAGGGATCTGAACTGTGTTTAAAAATTACCAACTTTCTCCTATCTGACTCAATGCATAGTCCCACTTGGAATGTGTTGCCACAGCTGAAAGGAGTGCCATGGGAATGAGAACAGGTTCCCCCACAGTGAGTGTTGCTGAAGCTAGCACGCCATCACCAAAGAACTGCTTTACAAACTGCACCCTCACTTCTGCTCAAGCCTTTGGCTTTTTCACCCTGGCATCTTGCTACCAGTGAACTGCAGATTTCATTGAGCGGTCTTTCCTTTGGGTATTGTACATAGCCACTGCACGGCTAACTTGTTCTATTCTTGATTTTGTTTTTTATTTTTCCATCTTTCCTATCTTTAATTAAGAAAGAGTGCCTCCAGAGGCTGCAGCTCAGAGCTGCTTTGAACCACCTGCAGCTATTTTTGGTAAGCAGAGAACATCCCAGTCTTTCTGACCTGTTTATCATCAGCACTGGTTTCCTGGCACTGTTGGCAGCTGATGTCTCATTTTAGGATTCGTATAGATTATGGGTCTGATGATTTAGTCCTTTTTCCCTCTATGTCTTCATGATTCAGCTTTTTAAACTGGCATGCAAGTGCCAGAAGTAGGGAAGCTGCGTCTTTTAGGTGTCTAGATTTCTCCCTCTTCCTTTGTAACCTTTTTTGTTGTTAAGTCCAAATTATACGCAGGTAAATTTTAATTAGTTTTGGAACAGAGAATGGCTTATTAAAAAATGTAACATTTATGTATGAGGGAAAGGCAGAAATTTGGAATTATCAGGTGTTTGTCCAAAAGCTTGCTTTATGACTCTTGAATGGTATAGCTGTGTCTAACAGGGCTTTTCAAAGACCTCAACTTTATCTCTGGACATAACATCACATTTTTGTTTAATAAACTTGTAATTTGTCTAGCAGGTAACTACTACACTTGTTTTTATTATATTCTGTTTTCTGAGATGGCTGATTGATTAGGTACTATGACCATAAGGATAAAAGGAAGGGACAGAGTATCAAAACCTGTAACAAAACTTTAAGCCTGTTGGTGAAACTGGTTGATGGCAGAAGCCCCTGAATTTCAGTACTCTCTTCTCTTTGTCAGACTTGCCGTGCCCTGCAAAACATTTCGTAATAGAGATGCACAGAAATGTGCACTGTAATGTTTACATATTATTGTGACATTTATTTTGAAGGGTGGTTTAGAGTTCCTGATCTATATTGTAGTGTAACTGTAATGAATTTATTTTTTCTTAAGCAAAACAATGAATCAGACAGTAATTCTTAAAGGTTTTTTAATGCATAAAATATTTAAAAAAAAATAATCTACTTAGTTTCAGAAAACTACTTTTAGAGCACAGTGGTTAACTAGATAACTTGTAAAATCAACAAATAATCCTCGGGAAGTCAAGGAATGTAAGAGGAAGGAGAAATTTTGCATTGGGGTACTGGATCCCATACAAATCACTGATTACAGCACCAGTGTCATTGGATTTGGGGTGTTTGGACCAAAGCAGAGGAACTGCAGATGGGAAAAAGAGGAGGGGAAGGGCACCGTGACAAGAGCTGGAAGGCAGTCACAGACAAATGTCTCACCAAAAGGGGAAGATAAGATAATATTGTTTCCGAGTGTTAGAAATCTCTACAAGGAGAATGTTGTGGTAACTTCTCAGATCAGGCAAGAGGCAACACCAGAGCCCTGTGCTGTGTCCGACTGACTCATTCCCAGCAGCCATTCCGTCCTGTCATTGATGAAGTTAAAGTGTGAGCGGTCGTTCAAAGCAAAAGCCCTTCTCTGAAGGTGTAATAGAGAGGGAGTGGGAAAAGTGTTTTCAGCAGAAAGCATACAAGTACTTTTGTTGCTTTTTCCCTGTTGTATTTCCAAAAAAAATGACTGAACATGGGGACTGTTGCTGTCTGTGGCTTGACCTCGTCAGTTGGCTATGTATGTGAGCTATAAATATATATTGATCTCATCCTGTTTTATATTGTTCTATATACGATACCTAAACCACTAGGCATTCTGCAAAGCAGTGGGAAGAAAAATGTCTTCAGAAACCCAGTGGATTACACAGAGATCCGAGCATACAGGAGCATGGCTGACCTCCATCTGCTTTTAGGCTGTACCACAGTTGTTTTGCTTTTTGCTATTTTTGGTGTGCTAAAGCAACCCTCGAGGATCATGCAAACTTGGGTCCTTGGGATTAAAGAAAACCTACTGTGGGTAAAGGAGGAAGAGAGTTTACAAAGCAAAAAGCAAACCTCCCCCCTTCCATTTTGCTTTTAGTGCATTAGTATGACTCATTCTTACTCTTTTTTTTTTTAAGTTTAAAATAATTCATCTGTTATTTTGGAGGGGTTTTATTGTTTAAACTACAGCTGAAACATGGACCTGTAGTAGTGATTATACAAGTATAGTGTAAGTTGCTTTCAAAGCCTTTGCAATCTAAATTGACAGGATTGATCAACACACGTGGTGTGGAAAGGGAGAGCAGCAGGAAAGGACGACAGGTAGAAAAATGGTGCAACCTTATCACGTACATCCTGACTTTTACTGAGGTTGATAGGTGCTTTTTGGATGAATTTTCCACACTTTACTCTTTGCTAAAGATCTTCATGAAGTATAGGAGTGAGAAAGATGAGAATACAAAAACCTGTGCAAAATTTGGGAGGCTTTTGTTTTAGCTTCCCTGTGTTGTTTGTTTTCCTTTCCTTTTTTTTTTTTTTTTTTTTTAAAGTCTTAGCTGCTGGTATCTGTGTTTATAGAAGAATCTCTGCTCATATGGTGATGAAGAGAACTGGGAAGATGAGAACAGGTTAAAATCTTGGAAGAAAAGTCAAGCTTTTGTCTTCTAAATAGAAAAAAAAAAAGTACTTTAAAAACTAGTTTCCGGCTGGTTTAGGCCTGATTCCTGATCTCTATAGTGGAGCTGCATGTTTAAGAAGGGATTAGTTAACGGGCAAAGCTGTGGCCTTTTGCAATCCAAACCTCAGGTGCACTTATAAATGGCAGTGAGACATACCCTGTGAATGTGATATGAACAGGATCAAACAGCTGCATTTAAAAGTGATGCTGGATGGGTAGGACTGAATCGCAACAATTGGATAGCTAGTCTGTAAAAATAACATACTCATTATATAAAAACAACATATCCATTACTTAAGGGACATAGTGTTGAAGCATCTAGTTGCTTTGGAAATCTCTTTCTTATTTCTTGCACTATTATACGTTATAGATCACACTGTTTTTTCTTGTGAGGAATCCCCTTGGAGCTGCTGCCCCTGAACAGTGCGCAGCATCAATGCTCAGATCACACTTGGGGATGGAGAAGAGGGAGCTGCTGCAGATGCCCAGGCTGCTTTGGGATGTGCTGCCTCCTGCCTTCATCACTGGAGGAAGGTTGAGCTGCGTTATGTGAAAGAGAAATAGAAAATCTGTGTCAGGTCATCCGATTTTTCCTTCCTTAAAGCATGGCGACAGGATGAAATTTGCTCCTCTTATTCATTTGTGGTTTGTTCAGAAGAAGGGTAACTCAACTTTCTTCCCACGGTCCTTCCACCCACGCGGGCTTCAACAGAGGATGTGGGTTCCTGGGATGACAGGAGTGGGGCTTGGCAGTCCTCTTACCTGGGTTGGGTGAGAGCAGAGATTTGCTCCATACAGCCCTGCCGTTGCAGCAAAGCATAAGCACAGCTGCTCTGTAACGGGTATCAAATGAATTGTTGGGGTTTTTTATTTTCCATGAAACAAATCTTGTTTTGGCATGTTTATAAGCATGTTATAAATGACATCAAAACGTATTTAGGAGTTAAACGTCTCCTGAGGGGGAAAAAACAGAGAGAAGCTTTCTCTTTAAAAAAGAAAATAAATTAAAAAAAAAAATCCAACACAGTTAATCCCAATGTGTGGCTTTAGCCCCAGGCAAGGGTTTTCCTCCCTTCTCCTCCTCCCCCCCTACAGAGAAAACACTGAATTCATTCACAACAGCAACAAATGCAGCATCCTGGAGGAGAGAGACTGACAGGGAACTGAGTGCAGATGAGCCACAGAAATTCCTAATTTAAGCTTAGCAACAGCAACAATAAAAAGGAAATCTGTAAATACAGAAACCATAAGGACAGTGACATTCCACTATGGATTATTCTTTTCATGTAAGGAGAATCCATGACACCCAAAGTGGCGGTAGTTCATCAAATCATACCAAGA